CTTAAAAAGCATCAAGAATTTTTATAAAAATATAACAATTAAGACATGGGAATAAATGCAAGCAAGTCTGGCACAAATGTCCTACTAGTCCAGAACAACACAGGAAGGCTCATAGAAACATTGTTTAAAATGGGAAAAAGCCAGGCATGGTGGCCCACGCCTATAATCCCAGCACTCAAGAGGCTGAGGCAGGAGGATCGTTTGGAGTTCAAGGCCAGCCTGGGCTACAAGGTGAGCTCAAGGCCAGCCTGAACTGCATAGCAAGACCCTGTCTCAAAAAGACAAAAAACAAAACAAAATAAAATGGGAAAAAGTGAAAACAACCCAAAACTAAAATCAGCAATAAGTATGAAAAATAAACTATGATACAATCATAAGATGAACTACTATGTAAGAAACAGTTAAACTAGAGCTAAATCCAATAATTAGGGTGAATCTCAAAAAAGATAATGATGTAAATCCACATTTATTTAGAGATGGACACACACTTGTAAAAAATTATTAGAGAAACAAAGGGAATGATAAACACACTGACCAAATAGCGATTCATTGTAAGGGAAGGAAATGAGATGGGAAAGAAAAGTCAGGGGGTTAAAGGTAATGGTAATATTCATTTCTTAAGCTGGATTAAACTGAGTAGTTCTATGTTATTAATATGTCTTCCAGAGACTGCAACTAAGACAATAGATCATCGAATTCCACAGGTTTCCACCTCTTAAATCGTATAAAAGACCCCCAGTTCTCAACCGTATAGTGCCTCATTTCACTGAGCACCTGCATTCTGTCCTTGAGTGCATCCTACATATTGCACTAATAAATCTCTTTTTTAAAAAATATATCTTAGATGTAATCAATAAATTGTTTTAATATCTTCCAATATTTAACTAAAAAATTTCAGAGGAAATGATGAAGAAATGGCCAGAGTAAATCATGAAGCTGGTAATCCAGGCTGAAATAAGCACCTAAGAGCCAGCCTGGTATCAGCAGCCCTGGAAACCCTTCCTACCTGGGAGTTGTATCAGGGTAGGGGCACCAACTCCTATATCTACACCGTCCTTTCACTTGTTGCATAGGGTTAATACAGTCCACTATACATAAGACCTCTGAAGATGAGACAATGGGTACAATAGCACCTACTACAAAGAGCACTTTGCTATACTCTGGTGGAATGCGGTGGGGTTACTCTGGACAATTTCAGGTAAGCTTGGTGGAGAACTGGCAGCTAAATGCTCTGACTCAGTCCAAAACCCTTCCCTACCTGGAATCCAGCCTAGCTTCTAGAAATAGACTGTGGTGCTGCTGTTTCTGCTTCCCAGGTGCAGGGGCAACTACATGACAGGGTTGATGTCAGTTATGCAGGGGAAGAGGGGCGCACTCAAACAAAGGAAGAGGAATGTGAGCATCCCGGGTCATCATCAGCAATGGAACCCAGTGGGAAAGTCCCAGCTCCATATGAACGTCTCCCTCTGCTGTGGGTCTGGACCACCCTCACCAGCAAGCTCAAAGGATCCAATTCTGACTTTAAATCTGATGGAGCAATAAAAATAACCAGTCTGTACTGCTGACCACACCTGATGCCACCCATTTGCTGCTGCAGCCACCAGATTCCACTGTAAATACTGCTTACCTCCCGTCCTCCACATAAAAAATACCCTGAAAAATTATACCTTGTGCAAACCAAAGACTTTGCTATTTTATTTTATGCCTTAAATCTGTGCTCCTCTTTGCCTCCCCCATACCTGTGGAGAAGCAGAAACTAAGTGCGTGCCTGTTTCCTCAGCAGGTGGACTGTGCATTTACCTTCCCCTCCCCATCCCTCCTACCGGCCCTAGAAGAGCAGGGTTCATGGCCGTGCTGGTGCAGCTGTCCCTGCTACCCTAAATCTCTGTCCACTGAAACAACGTCACCGTCCTTGGGGCAGCACTGGCATACATGAAGGTCTTTTAGCACCTAGAGGAGGAAGGAAGGGGTCAGAGCTCAGATTCTATTCATCTTTGCAGATTCGTCTCTACCTTCCCTTCTTGACTGTCTTATAAGTGCATGTGCCCAATACGAAGTTGAGTTGCTTTACTTCAGAGTTGATGGCTCAAAGCTGAAAAGACCCCCTGTTCCCTGACATTTGAATCCTGGGCATTTGACCTGGCCAAGGGCCACCATTGTTCCCCTTTAGTGCACCCCTCATGCTGCAGTGCTCCTCACACCATCACCTTAATATGAAGTACGCCATCCCTGAATGTAGGGACTGTCTCCTACAGTGTCCCTCCCCACCCACAACAGGGACGTGGGAAGCTACAGTAAACCCAGTCAGCACATGTCTTCAGTGACCTCAGAAAAATCCTGGGGCCAAGTCCTGGGCAACTCACACATGCCCGCTCTACCCAACACATTGTGCTGAGAAAGTGGATCTGCCCCACCCAGGGACTGTCCAAAGCACCCCTTCTCACCACACCCAGAGCGAAACATGTCTTCCAGGAACCTGACATGACCACCTGCCACACTGCTAGAGACCCCACACCCCATAACAACCCAGTCCGGGCGCCATTCCCTCTCCAGGCTCAGCCCAGATCCTGCCTACTCAAGAACACTTCAGCCTTTCCTTAAGATGGTTTTCCCAAGAGGGACATCTTTGCTAATGCAGATAACAGCTTCCTGAGATATTCAGAGTGGGTTCCCAGGCATGGAGTGCAAATGAGTAACCCTCAGAAGTGGATCGTGAAGCAATCTTTCTGATGCCTGGCACAGCACCAGGCCATCAGAAATCACTGAGAAGCCAGGACAAGCCAAGAGACCTGATGAAAAACATTTATTGTACAATTACTCACAGCTGAATTTGACCCAGGACACCCAGAAGGCATCTCCAATTTATTTGTCCTCCCTGGGGGCATCATGGGAGATCATAGCCAAGTTCCCCAGGAAGGTGAAATATTCTTGGAAGTTCACCTCGGAATTTTTGTCTGCATCCAGGTCTTCCATCAATCCTTCAACCTCAGCAGGGCACAGCTTCTAAAGTGTTAGAATGGGAAGTACACACTCAGTGCTGACCGGCACCTTTGGTTCTCTCCTTCCTCCCTCCCAGGTAGCTGCTTCCTCTCACACAAGCCCCTCTACTCATAGTCACAAAGGATGGTTGCCCCCCTTGTCTTCACCGTGGCTTTACTTCTCCCCTGCCCCTGCTCCTTGCTCACATGGAGTAAACACCTGGCTGAGAGCACCTCACCCCCTCCAAGCAATACATGGTCAAGTGGTGAATGAACAAGTGGCGGGAAGCAGGGCTGGGAGCAAACTATTCACCTTACCAAAGGGGAGCTCCGTGCGGATCAGCTCCCTCAGCTCCTGCTTTGTTACGGTTACCTTGTCACTTTCCCTGCTTGAGTACTTGAAATAGAGGGACAGGAAGTATCCGAGGGTGTCTTCCGTAGAGGATGTCATGGCTGCCAGCTGGGCTATGAGCTGGAGACAGAGAGGCTGATCAGAGCCCAGTCCACAGGACTTTGTTCACCACATACCCCAGGAGCCTTGTGCCCACCACCTGCCACTCCCTTTGATAGGGTGCAGGGCCCAGGGGACAAGATCTGAGGAGGAGAAGTGAATCAAAGGCTTCCAAGGGGCCATTACCGTAGCCAGCTTTGGGCAGGTTTACTGCTGGCTTCCAGGAGAAGTTGGAGAATATGATTGGGCAGGGGCCGTCCTAGGCCACACACCGGGGCAGATGTACACACGGGACACACCCTCCAGCACCCCAAAGGAGCACCAGAAGAGCCACCCCCCTGGGATGCCCTAGTCTGGGGCCAGCCTGGCATCACCGTCCAACTGTGGCTCTCCCTCCTCAGTGTGGATCCAAAGCCTGCCCAGAGGAGCCCCCAGCATGGGCCCGACAGGGTGTCTGAACCGACCCAGCAAGCACAGGCAGAACTCACTGCACTGGTCAGCAGACAGCAGAGCACGAGGCAGAGGTCCAGAGAAGGAGAGCTCCACCCGGCTGGCCTTACATGGGCCTATCCAGAAGGCGGGCTCAGGCAGGTCCCCACAGCCACAGCCAGGGCCCCACCCACGCACACAGACGGTCCGGTCCGACTCTCCTACTGCGCAGGCTGCTTCGGTCTAGGGTGGGGAGCCCAGTGGCTGGCAGGAGGAAGGGACCTGGTGTCCACCACTGTAAATGGAAGGGGGTTGAGTTTTCCTAATTTCCATAGTTAAGGTTGCACCTCCTAGCGAGCACAGGGTAAGGGAGGTAGCTGTGGTCACCTTCTTCTTCCTCAGCCACCTGCCCGCCTCAGCTTAGAGCAGGATCAGCTTTGGGAAAGGGCGGGGACTTCATGGGAGGCTAGCGCCGCCACCCCACCCCTCAGAGGTGGTCAGGAGCAGCTCCAGAAGAGGGACTGGAGAACCCGGGGTCTACAGCGGTGTATAGAAGGGGTCTGAACACCCGTCCCCATCAGCCTTCTGTTCCTCTCACTCCCTCACCTGACCGCCCGAATTCCACCCAGAGAGCACCTCAGCTCTGCCAAGCAAATATTCTTCCTTGTCCACCCATTAATGAGAAGTTTTTCAGCCCAGGTCTCCTGAGAAAGGCAGGGGGAAAGAAAAGAAAGTGATGCCCAGAGGTTCCTGGGGCTGGGCCTGGGGCGGGGTGTTGCTGAAGGGTAATAGAGGGGAGCTGAAGGGGGCTGTGTGGAGGCCAGGCTCCCCTGGCACCAGTCTTAAACTGGCCCCAGGTCAGACAAGTGCCCACCGCTGCCCTGGGAGCCACACGCAAGGCACCACGCTTTTGCACTCTCAAAGCACTTTCCCCCTCCACTTTCTCTGCGTCCTTGCAACTCCTAGGAGGCCTGTGAAAGCCTGGGCAGCTTCCCCATGGTGCAGCAGGGCAAAGTAGACCTGAAAGTAGGATGACACTGGCTGGGAGCCTGCGACATCTTGGAGCAGGGAGAACCTCTGCTTGGATGCCCCACCAGGGCCAAGGTGAATAAGACACTGGCAGGACCAGGCAGTGCTTGGAATGGAAACTTTATTTCCTCTCCTGGAAGGATGCATGAGCGAGGGGGATGGGGCCAGAAAGGGTCTGAGAGAGGAGCTACAGCAGTCAGGGGCGAGGGGCTGACAGGGAGGGCAGAGGGCAGCACGGTCACTTGTTGTCCTCCAGGAAAAAGTCGTTGTAGGCCATGCACAGTGTGGTCAGGAACACCGAATACTCCTTGAAGTCGATCTCCAGGTCGCTGTTCTTGTCCAGGCTCTTCATCAGGTCATCAATGCTGCTCTCTTTCATCTTCTGGGAAGACCCAGGTTGAGAGACAGCTCAAGAGCTCCCCAGGCCTTGCCCCACCACCCACAGTTAGGCAGGCTGAGCGTGTCCGCGCTGTGAGCAGCTCCACCCCAGAGTCTAGTCCCAGCCCACAGCTGGCACAGAATGACAGAGGGAAGGCCAGCCTAACCTCCCTTCCCAACATCTGTTCCCAGTGAAAGGAATAATAATCTAGGGCTGCTTGAGAAGGGACCCAGACAATATGCCTCTCCCTGAGAACTGAGCTGAGCACAGCCTGGCACTCAATGGTACTCTGTCTGCTCCACTGGCTTGTCACCCCGGCTCCACCAAGAGAATACAGATAGAGCCCTCATCAGGAGAAAGGGCCTCTTCACTGTCCGCAGCTCCAGGTCTCCTAGGATCCAGCATATTGGGACGCACAGAGATGGGAATAGTGTGCACCGAGATCCCAGTCCCCAGCTGCGCTCCTGTTTTTCACAGACCCTCCCCTGTGCTCCTGTCCCCAGTAATGAGCTCCAGCCCTAAGGCCCTTCCTTCTGCCTTCATTAACTCCAGGACCCCTGCCGGAAGTCCAGAGGCCAGTGCATCTTCAGCACTGGCTTCATCCCCTGCCCATGGAAGCCCTCTGGGACCTTCTCTCTGAGAGCCCTCCAGGGTTTAGGATGTGCCAGAAAAGTCTCTACCCGAGGTTGAACTGTAGAAGAAAAAAGGGAGGAGCACATGCCTGGAACTTGTCCAGCTCAGCCTTTCATTGGACAAGTTCTCTGATGCACCTGAGCCTCAATTTTTTTCCTGTAAAAATAATGTCATGTTTATCTCATGGGCCTTACCCTGTGTTGGTAATCTCCTTCCCTCCATCTGTATCTCCTATGAATCGATTCTGTCTCCTCCCTACCTTCTGTTCACAAGTCAACCTTTCAGTTCACATGTCAGCACTGCCTGAGGGCTGTGGCCAAGCACACGGAGGAGAATTACGCAGGGTCCCTACCCCTGACTTGGGCACAGCTTGACCTGGACACCCCAGATCCCTCAACCTCCCCCAAGTTCCCTAGCACAGGTTCCGCCACCACTATGACACCTGGCCCGGCCATCACAGACTCCTTCCTCCGGTTCCGTAGCTTCACACAGGCTGCAGTCCACCCCTAGACTCAGCCCTGCTCCTTCTCACTGAGACCCCAACTCAGCTCCAGAAGAGAGATCTAGAGATCTTTCACCTGAGATGCCCACCCTCTTCCTTCTGTCTCTGGACATAGCCTTCACCAACCTGCCCCTCACTTAGAGGACCCAAGGATGGGTGTGTGTCCCCCACAGGGACCACTCGGACTTCGTGGTAGAGTCACCTACCTCCCCAAGACTCAGTTCCTTCGTTATCAGCTCCTTCAGTTCCTTCTTGCTCAGGGTCAGTTTGTTACCCTCTCGCCCTGAATATTTGTGAAAAGTGGTGACCATCGTGGTCAAAGCCTTCTCAAGAGGAGTCTCCATCACAGTGTTCAGCTCTGGAGTGGGTAAAGGCGAACACCACAGTGCTCAGGAATCAGACCTTCTGCTCCCAGTCACAACTATCCCATCCCTAAACCCGTCCTCCGAAGAACAGGGACTGGAATCCATGATGAGGCTAAAGTCCACCCAGAGGATCCATCCAGGTCCAGACAGGTTCTAATGAGACCAAGGCAAATTCTGAGCAACCCGCAGAGAGAGATGCTCAGCCCCTAAAGAACACTCCTCTGCTCAAGAGGTGTTGACAAAGGGGCCTAGAGCACAGTTGACATAATGACTCCTCAAAAGAACTGGTGGCAGATAGGGGAAAGATACAGGGCCAGTACATTCTCTCTGCCCCATCCGGTTTGGACACTGGTTTTCCAGAGGCAGCCCCACTTTAGTCATCCACTTTTCCCCAGTGTCCCCATCTGCTGATGTCAAGGAGCACCTTGCTATAGAAGTGGGGGATGGGGCAAAGAGAGAGTCCAGGGCTCAGACAGGTTGGGGCTGGAAGTGGGAGATAAGGTCTCAGCAAGAAGTGGGACTTGCCAGCTGACCTCCAGTCACAAGCCCCAGAACTGCTCAAGACCTGCGTCCACAGACTGGTGGGGAGGTAGGGATCTAGAGTTTGGGTTTGAGTGAGGCCCTCATTTCTATCTGTAGAGCCACCCACATAGAAAAGAGGCAGCTGGAGCTGTGTGACTCAGATCTAAAAACCACATCCCTTTAGGGAGGAAGGAGGCCACACCCACAGAACTTCGGTGCTATTGGTAGATCCTGTGAGGAGTCCAGAGCCAGGAGGAAAAAGATGCTGGCCCCCACCTCCAGCCCAAAGCCCAGCCCACAATTCTTCAACTGGACCATCATTTCTCTCCCACCACCCAAACTCCTCAGCTTCTCCCACCTTCAGGAGACTCAGCCAGGACCACAGGCCAAAGCAAGGGCCTCTGGCATCTGCAAGAGCATCCTGGCCAGTTCTGGACCCCCATCTCCACCTAAAGCCACTTAGCAGGAAATTCTCGTGGTCACATTTCCAAACTCAGCTCCTTCTTCTCCAGCACACACCCACTTGCAGGGCTGGGCCTTTTTCATGGACGTGACTGTGGCTTGTCACCCTCTGGCCTCCTCACCCTTATGGCCCTGCAGAGGTGAACAGGGAGATGGAAGGAAGGACTCACCTAGGAGGGAGCAAACCCAAAGAAGCCAGGCAGCAGCCACAGCCTCCCACCCACCGCTCTCTGCTTTTATTCCCTTGTTCCCAGTGCCCAGGAGATCAGGGAGAGACAGGGCCAATGAGAAGGGGTCAGGGACATGAGGACGCCCAGCAGAGCCTCCTGAGGCAGGCAGGGGAGAAACCTCCTGCCACTTTCACCATCCTTGTTTACAAACAAGGGCAGGGAACACACTCAGTTCACCATGGTACACATGTTTCCAGCCCCAGAAACTTCGCTTTTCCAATCAGAAATCAGAACTCACCATGCGATGGAGCAATAGGCAGATGAGGGGAGGTGGATGTGGGCAGAAGAGAGGGCACCGCCCCACAACCTAGGCCACTCTGCACACTGAAACCCTCCCATCCACTCCAGCAAATCCCCACCAATCAGTGGGGTAGAATATTTCCCGTCAAGGACACAGTGAAGGCCATTAGCGTCTCTGAAGTCAAAGGGTTCTTTTTTGGTTTTGGTGTTGCTTGTTTTGTTTTCTTAGAGAGGTTCTCGCTATGTATGTTAGACTGACCTTGGACTCGCTATGAAGCCCAGGGTGGCCTTGAGCTCACTGTGCCTCCTGAGTGCTGGAATCACAGGGGTGCACTACCATTCTTCTAAACCTTCATAGGAAAGAACTGTCTGAGACTCTTGACACAGAGAACTGAGAATCAGCGACTGGAGAAGGTTTGAGGGAAAGGCTAGGACCTGCAGATGGGGTGGAGTTTGGATGGGTGGGGGCAGAGTAAGGGTGAGCACAATGAAATACTTAAGTGTTGGGGAGAGTTCCCTGTATCCCAGACATTGTGCCACCACCAAAAAGACCAAGAATGAGGACAGTACTGGGCCAGAGACTTAGTGCCCAGCCCTGCTGCAGTCCCACCCTGGCCTGCCTGGATCCTCCTCTCTGCTCCCTATGCGTGCCTACCCCCAGCTGCAACTAGTTAGCAGGCTGCAGGGACTTGTTGCTAAGTAACAGGAGTTTCCAATAGAGTGATGCAGGATGAGCCTCAGGGGAGGGCATTCCCATGGAAGATGGGCAGACTAACTGGGAGTGAAAGAAGGAACAGTAAACTTTTCCTGCACCAAGCTCTCTAGAGTCCAACTCCAGGGGAACATCTGAGTCACATACCCTACTCCTGTCACGTTGGAGAGAAAAGCTCTGGGCAATGAGAAGGGAAGCTTGAGAAGTCAAGGGAACCAAGCCTTCCAGCTCCTGGCTGGGCATCTATGCACCCCTTCCTTGGAAGTCCCCATATCTTCCAGGCATGGCCATGAACTCTGGAGATGCAGCCTTTAACCTGTTCTAAGGGGAAGGAGCACCATGCTTCATATTTTCAGGAGGGAGGATTTCTATACCACTTCACAGATCATGTGTCTGGAAGTTTGTCTCTAAATCTGTTGTCGTCATCTTCCTCGCTCCCAGCAGGCACTGTCCTTCACTCCTCCCTCCTGAGACCCTTGTCCTCCTCTGAAAGAGCACAATTCCTCATGACAGTTCTCATCCAGGAACCCATGCACAGAGAGAATAACTACCTCAGGCTGCTGCAAAAGATCCCCCTCTACAACGCTGTCTCTGATCCAGCCATGGGCAGGAAAGGGTCACTCCACTCCTGTGGAATGAAGCCAGTGAGCTGGAAGGGGTGGCCAGTCAGGGCCTGGACTACAAATGTCAGGACTGAGTGACAGCCTCCCCCTCCCCCGCTTCCCACTCTGGCCCCACAGCTCCCTCCGCTGACTTAGCCCTATTGTCTTCCCTCCAAACCCCAACCAAAAGCAGATGTGACCTTCAGTTCCATTCCAGCCTCAGTTTGAGGTCCTTCCAGAGACGGGGATGGAGAGGGGTGGGACAGGTAGTGGGCTGGCTAACATCCCACAGCCGGGGCTTTCCAAGCTCCTAGGGGTCCCTTTTCCTACATCCCCACCAGAGGACACTTTATCTTTAAACACACAAACACACACACACACACACACACACACACACACACACACTCAATAACTGCATCCCTCTCAGTCCTCACTAGTTTATTCTCCACAAAACTGCAGCTCACCTCCTGGTGCGCCCCACCATTGCCCCATGACATATTCCTCAGCCCCAACACACTCCTCCAGGATCTGTGTACCCATCAGTCTAGTCACTTCCAAAACTCTTTATTGAATTTGCTCAGCATCACGTACACGTCTAAAAAACCCAGAGTGAGGCACTGTGCTCACTGCCACCTGGGAGGACCCCAGCCGTAGACCCCACTCCCACCCCATTGCATGCGAGCAGCCTTCACTTCTTCCGGGGCTGCTTATCTGGGAAGCCCTCAAAGAACTCGTTGCACATCATAGCAATGCAGGACAGGAAGACACAGTACTCCTGGAAGTCCACCTCATTGTCCCGGTTGTTGTCCAGGTTGCTCATCAGCTTCTGGAATGCAGCCTCATCCGTCCTTTTCTGGAGGCAAAAGAAACTACAGGTAGAACACAAAAGCCAAAAAGGACTAGGCAACTAGAGCTGAGACTGCTCCGGGTTTCTGCCTCTAGACTGGAGCTCAGAACAGCTAATGGCTTTGGAATTCCAAGCTGCAGGACTTAGTCAGGGTAGAGAAAGTTGCTCCCTGGGTGAAGAATTCTGAGTGCCTGGTGGCACTGGGAAATGATGGAATCTCTTCTTCACTCATGTTTGTTTTCATTATCCAATTAAGTGAAGGCCATGCAAGCAATGTATTAACAACTGTAAGATGTTATTATTGGGGTAGGGGAGTCTATAGCTGTGTATATGTCTTCATAATTGTGTCTTCACACATAGAAAAAACTCAAAGACTGCCCGTTGTAGGACTGATGGTGAAAGGCAGACAGTCCTGATCTGGATCACAGTTCGTTTTGTGGTGTAGGGATTGAGCCAGGATGCCGTGCATGTTAATCAAGTACTGTACTCGACCACTGAGCTATACTGTTTTGTACACTGACTACTACCTCGGAAAGTTACTTAGCTCTCTGAACTTTGGTGTTCTCTTCAATTAAGTTGTGCAAAGCTCATAGCAGGCATCTGGCCTGTGACCGCTGGGGACCATGAGTGGTGGATGTTCCCTTTGTTCCACACCAAGCAGCTAGATCTCGCTCTCTAACCCCATCTCCTGACCTCAATGATAGCTCCAACTGCATCTATGCTCTGCACATAAGCTGGTGCTTCCCCGACCCCGCCCTCTTCCCGGGGCAGGCTGCACAGAGAGGACCACTCCCGGGCAGCAACCACTCACCCCCAAGAAGCTGGGCATCTCTCGGGTCAGCAGCTCCTTCAGCTCTGACTTGTTGAGCTTAAACTTGTCGCCTTCTTTACCCGAATACTTGTGGAAGGTGGACACCATCACATCCAAGGCATTCTCCAGAGGAAGAGCCATGGCAGCCTCCGACCTGGGGGCAGCAAGCACTGAGTACCTTTATCCCCCATCCATCCCCAGCAATGAGTTCAGAGTGACCCACTCCACCCCATCCCCCAACCCCGGGGGAGCCCAGAAAAGTGGGTCCAGCTCCTGGCAGGAGGGATGCACAGTGGGAAACGCAGGCTGCAGGCAGCAAACATTTGCAGGGCGTGCTGCACAGGCCTTGGAGATCCGGGCAGCCAGTTCCGGGACCTCCCTCAGGCCTCCCCTCAACAACAGCATTTTTCCACCCTCACTAAATCCAACCACTCCCACAGCTCAGCCACAAGCTCCCCGCCCTGCCCTCACCCATTCTTCTCCCTCCCAATGAAGGGCGAGGCTGCTGGATGCCTGCCCAGGGCCCTGCAGCGGAAAAAAACAGCCACCAAAGTGTGAAGGAAAGGTGGGGAGGCCGGGCTCTCTCGGGTTAGGCACTAGGTAGCGGGCCGAGGCTCATAAGTCTCTAGCAGTCAAAAGCCCACAGGTGATTCGCTTTGCTTCCCATACCCAAGTATGCACACATGAGCTTGCACAGCCGGCAAACACAAGCCAGCGTGCCTACCATGGGTCACATACACCACACACACTATAACAGCTCACGTAAATCCAGCATCTTGGGAGCTCTTGTAGAACTCAAATCCAGCCATCTGCACGCTTTTCTGTTTTTCATTTTCTTATAAGCACACATACATACATTCTCTCATACACACACACACACACACACACACACACACACACTCCCCAAAGCCTCCACACCAGTCTCACATCTGCATCTCTGTAGCACATCTGAGGCCCACAGCCTCCCCTTCTGCTGCGCCAACTCAGGCTCTGACTGCCCTTGCACAACTTACCAGACCAAGAGAGGAAGCGCTGAGTAGAAAGGTTTGGGGAGAGCCCAGCAGCCTGACCTATTTATACCCAGTGAGGCCCTGCCCATGAGGGGATGGGGAAGAGCCGGATACTGCCCTCCTGCTGCAGGCTGATGTTGTAAGTGCCACAGCCCAAATCGCCCCCCCACCTCACCAGCCCAGCCTGGGAATCAAGCTTCCTATTCCCAAGCAGACACGGACAGGCAGTGGGTGAACCCTGTGGACATCATCAGGGACCTCGATGAGGGGGCAGGGGGCACCACTCAGCCTCTACAAATCAGCCTAAGTTTAGGGAGCTAGAAGAAAGGGCAGTCTGAGGCGGGGGTGTGGGGACCAGAGAAGGAGTCATCTCACCAGGCAGATAGCAAAGGAGGTGCAGGGCGGTGGATGACGGGGAAGAAATTGCCCCAGAAAGGCAGCTGCCCAAGAGCTGGAGAGGGGAGCCCAGGCAGGTGCTACGGTACAGCTCAGTCAGTCCTTCTCTCCTCTCCAGATGGTTCTCTCTCACGCCCAGTAAGCCCTGGGGTAGAGCCTGGGGGCACCAGGAGGGGCTCTGGGACTCCCCCCAGCAGTGTCAGGGAGAAACGACCTGGAGAGCTAATGATGCAGCGGGGTGGGGTAGAAAGGTGTGGGGGGCTCAGGAATGGGTGAAAGCGTAAAAGAGGTTGTCGGGAGGGGTGCTTAGGGTTGGCATGGGTGTCAGGAACGAAGAACCCAGGTTAGGGTGGAGAATTAGAGGTGAAATGACACAAAGTGGGGGAGTCAGGCTCAGGGTTAACCTCTCAGGATGGGGCCTGAACTCAGAGATGAGCGAGGGTCAGAAGTGGGGCTTAAAACCCTCAGGGAGTGGCTGGGACCAGCTGCTTCAGGGCTGGGGTCTGTCCCAAGGTACTCTGACCCCCTGCAATACAGAGCACCCCTCCTTGGCTTCCAGAAAATACCTCAGATGCCCTAATCCTATTAGTGCTGCTCTCTGGGCTCCCACACCCATGCCCCGCCCCACCCACAGTCGCCCCTTATCCCCAGAACATCCGGTCATGCGGACTGAGTTCCGTCCCAGAGAACCCTTCCCCCATTCTTTTCTGGTTTTTGGTTGGGGGTTTTGTTTTTTTTCCCTAGTACTAGGAATTGAACCCAAGGTCTCAAGCATGCTAGATGAGTATCCTACCACTGAGATAAGTACCCAGGCCCCTCCAGCTGTTCCTGACAGACCAAGACGCAGAGAGACAGAGGGGGCGGGGGTTCTGCCAGCCTTCCCAGGACTCCTTGTGTCAACCCCACCCCTCCCCCTTGAACACTGAAACAAGTGCTTCTCAGGGTCTGAAACGGCCCTTGGGGTCTATGGGGAGCTCCAGCTCCTGCCCTCAGCCTCCTTCTTCCTGTGGAAAAGTCCAGAAAGGAGGACTTCAACCCGAGACCCGCGTGTCCACTCAGAAGAACCAAAACAAGCCATACTGCTGCCATGTCTTTATTAGGAATTACTCAGCCCCTTCCACCGTGGCCTCATTTACACACACACAGCTGGGCCTCCAGGGCCTTCATGGCAGAACCCCACCTCCTCCCACCCACAGAGAGAGGAAGTGGGGGTGGGGCTGCCCTGGCCCTCACCAGCTGGGCAGCTGGGAAGATCTCATGGATAAAATGGGTTGGCACAGGCAGGGCAAGCCCAGGGGAGGCTCCATATTGAAAGAGATGCAGGAGAGAAGGTCGGGAGCTTGATGGAGCGGAGCCCAGGATCCCCTCAGCGGCAGACATGGAGCAGCCTGGAGCAGACCCTGCCTTCCAGGCCACACTCCTCTGGAGCAAAGGCTACTGAGGGCAGGGGGGCTCGGGACGGCAGTCCCTGAAGTGCTCGTGGCAGAAGAGACAGAGGCGGGCGAGTGAGTGCACGTACTCCTCAAAGTCCACCTCGCAGTCCTTGTTGGTGTCCAGAGCACTCATGAGTTTATCATAGTCACACTCTCGAAACTCCGTCTGTGGAAGGGAGGGGTGAGAAGGGAGGGGTGAGGAGCTAGGGGAGGCAGGCTGAGGAGGGCAGAACAGACTTCCACAGCCATTCCCCTCTGGGAGGACCCGGCCCAGCCTGGCCCACACTCTCCTGGGGGTCAGCCTCAGCTGTTGTTTTTTTGTTTTTTGAGTTTTGTTTTTTTTTGTTTTTTTTTTGTTTTTTTTTGAGACAAGTTATTATGCAGTTCAGGCTGTCCTTGAGCTCACTTTGTAAACCAGGCTGGTCTCGAACTCGCAACGATCCTCCTGCCTCAGCCTCCCGAGTGCTGGGATTACAGGCATGCGCCACCATGCCCGGCAGCCTCGGCTGATAACATGATTTCAACCCAATTTCCAAAAGGCAGCCTCTCAGGGTACTGACTGAGCGCCTGCTCTTTGCTGCTGAGTCCTGCATTCTTCACGGGGGTTCCCTTACTCTTCCCAATCTCTGCGAGGCCAAGGAGCGAGACTGACATCCCACTTCACAGACAGAAACTGAAAGCCAGGCCTGGTGACACACACCTTTATCCCAGCACTAGGGAGGCTGAAGCAGGAGGATCATGAGGCCGAGCCCACCCTGGATTACATGGGACCCTGACTCAAAAAACAAAAATATGACCAAAGAAAAAAGTAGGAAGCTGAAGTTCATTCAGTCCCTTCCCAGCATCCCCTCCCCACAGGGTAGTCTCTGCCCTCTGCTACCTTCTGGGTATGCTGCACCCCAGGTCACTCTGCAGAGTCCAGGTGGTGCCAACCCACTGGGCAGCCAAGGTGCTCACCGGCGTCCAAGTGGGCAGCTCCTTCCGCAGCAGCTCCTTGAGCTCCGCCTGGCAGAGCTTGTGCTTGTCTCCAGATTGATGGCAGTATTGCTGGAAGGTGACCACAATCGTCGCCAGTGCCTGCTCCAGGTTCTGAGTCATTCTCACTGTCACAGAACAAGTCTGTGACTCTCGGTAGAAGCCAGGCCAGCCCCCCTGTTCACTTCTGTCCAGTGTTTCCCAGGGGCTGTTCCCAGACCTGTCTTGTCTCCCCCAAGCGCCCCTCCTCTGAGCAGCCCCTCCTGACCACACTAGTCCTCCTGAATCATCTCCCACCATCCTCATTGTGGACGCGTCTCATTTCCCCAACATCGGTGCAAACGCCTCAGAGACAGAATACCCTGCCCCATCAGCCTCACCCCCATAGTGGAGCTCCCTGAGGACTCCAACTCTCTCCCACCTTTTCTCACCCCCCACAACCCCCAGGAATGGCCTGGTGCCCCACACCACCTTGAGATGCAGCCCCTGGTCCTAAAAGTCCCGCCCACTTTAGGATTCCAGAGCTCTTTCCAGTGGGAACTTGCAGAAGGTCCTTGCTAGAGCTGGGTCTTAGCAGGGCGGGTCATCTCTGACAGGAAACCCCCACTACCTCACCTGGCCCCTGCCCTGAATTCACAGGTGCTGCAGCCACAAGAAAAACTGGGCTCCTCTGCCCCGTGCTGGCTTTGCAACCTTGGGTGAGCCATTTCCCTCTCTGGTGCCTTCTCTGAAAGGAGGGCAAATCCCCCTCACAGACTGAGTCAGGAGCATGAGCCAGAGGCCTTTGGAGAGGCAGGCAGCTCAGGGATGTACCATTCTGCCACCTGTCTCCCCCCACCACCCCCACTGAGTCCACCCTCTTGGCCCCTGGGGGTCTTGAGATAGGGGGCTCTGTGCAGAATGCCCGGTTCTGGTGGAGGAGAACCTTCCCTGGAATTGCTCCCTCCCTTGATTCCACTGGCACCTTCCACACCCTGCTGGGCTGATGCCTCCGGCCTGGGGAAATCCTGGGTGGCCAGAAAGGCAAAAGTTGTTTCCATGTGAGCCCAGTGAGTCACTCCTGCTCCCCCAGGGGATGGGAGCCCTGCAGAGTGGAGAAGCCAGGGCCAATCCTCTCTCCCCAACAATTCCTGCTCCTCTGGCAGGGGGAGGGTCAGCGTGGTGTGGCTGGCAGGGAAGTAAGACAAGGAAGGGGGGAGCGTGCCAAGCACCGCTAGGATCTAATGCTTTGCGTCAGCCCAGGGCTGGAGCAAGATGTCCACACTCCCAGAAGAGGAAAGAGCCCATTCCCCAGAGTCAGGAACCTCCGACGGCGTGCAGCATGCCCTTCCAGGCTCCTGCCAGCTGCCCTGGCGCCAGCTTTGCTTCTGTTTCGTAGCTCAGGGCCTGAGGACTACCAGGAATCCTCTGTTCCCTACAGCCATGGCCTGTCCCAACCTGTTCCCCTAGTGAAGCAAGGAGGAAAGGAGGAGGGCAGGGAGCCAACTAAAGGCAACACCAGAACTTTTAGACTATGGCTTCCACCCTAGGGCCAAGCCCCACCTCTGTACACCCCAGCCCCAACTTCCCGCTCATTATCCCTGCATTCGCCATAGCTGACTCCCTTCACTCAGTCACCTGCAGTGGTCATTTCTCTGCCCCCATGCCCAGACCCTAGTCAGGAGACAGACAGGATGTCAGCTCCCTGAGCAGCCCTGACACTCAACCCAGGGCAGGACCCATGCAGCCAGCACTCACCACTGGTGTTGTCCTTCCACCTCTGGGAGCCTAGAGGCTGGCGTCCCTATTTGTAGCCTCCCCAGGAATGAAAGGGGCAATTATGGGCATCCAAGTAGGTCAACGCTGAGGCTGCCCCCAGGGAATCTCCTGCCTTCTTTCCTCAGCAGCCCCTTTTACAGGACCTCCCGCCCACCTATCCACGCACACATCAAAGATCCAGGCTGGGCTTCTCACACCAGTCATCCTTCCCCCTGCACCCCCACCCAGGACTGGGAACCGGAGACAGCTTCCTGCCCTCATCCTTACAGCGTGGAGGAGACAGGCCTGGCTCACATCACAGCCCCCACCACATTTCTTCTCTCTGAAGAGGCACCCTCACCTAGGTAGTAGCTCGGAGTTCCCATGTGGGAGTGCCTTGGAGAACACCTGGCTGAGACCCTCATTTACAGATGAGAAGACTGAAGCTATCCTAGCTCTGCCACCAGCCACGGACTCACAGACCCCTTGGGTGCTTGGTTGCTTTTGAGGAAATTACTGTGTATCTCCTAGGAGTGCTTCAAGCCGTCTGGACTTGAGTTTTCTTGCCTCTCCACCCCAAGTAACAGGAATGAACTTGGGCTACAGGCTCCAGAGAGAGCTGCCTTGTGGCTGGAGTCCCTTAGGGGCTGAGTTCCTCTTCCTGCTTGGTTCAGCACCAAGGCAGCTCTAACTCTCCTTTAAGACCTGGGGGTATGGGGGCAGGGTTCCCTCTGCCTGTTAGCATGATGAGGGGTGTCTCCCTTGTGTCCCCTCCTTGGGTAAGCCCTGGGCTGCAGCTTCCCCAAACCGCTGAAGCCAAAACCCTGGTTTGGCTGGACTTGGCCAGGGTCCTCAGGGGATAAGCAGCCCTGGTGCCCTGCTTACCTCCTGATTCCGCTTTCACTTAGATTTTGACTGACTCATTCCTTCCTGTCTACCACAGTTCTTTGATGCTTTGAAAAAGATTATTTTAGTTCTAGCCAACATTTCCTGTTTTAGCTGGAGTAGACAGAGTCCACCATATCACCAGAAATGTCAATCCCTTCGTACCAGTCCTCTAGCCTAGGCCTAACCCTAAGATTCCCCAAGTCACCGAAGGAACTGAAGGTCAGGAGGAATGTGGGAGGGGAACAGGAGCTTGGCTTCCAGGCCCATGAAGAAGCCCTAATGCCTGTGGCAGCTCCCTGAGATCCACGACCCCTCCCTGGGCCCAGCACCCAGCCTTGCCTGAGCCATCACCTCCTGGAGACCCCCACCCCATAGGTGAGAGGAGTGTGCAATGGGGCAAAAGAAGGAAGAGCTGTGATTAACCCTGTTTTATAGGTCAGGAGTTACGGGGATGGGAAGACAGGGGCACAGCAGGAATCAGGACTGGAGTGGACCAGCAATTAATTCCGTCCTAGGTCAGTCACTCAGGGCTTCATTTTCCTCATGTCAGTGATAGAGGGTAATAATATAACCACCTCATAGCATTGTTGTGGGACTTAGATGAGTTAACATACAAATCTTGTGGAATAAATAGTGCCTAGCACATAGTAAGGGCTTAATACATGTTAACCCAGAGGCAGTAATTTGGCCACAGTCACTTAACTAGTGAGTGGCGGCATCAGGAGCCATTGGTTGTTCATACAAATATTTAAAGGCATCTATGGTAGGCATTGAGGGTGGATCCATAAACAGAACTGACACAGTGCCTGCTCTAGGGAGACGGCAATCTAGTGGAGAAAACAGGCAATCACAGAGGAAGGTTCAATAGGTTCAATACAAGTGCTATGAGGAAAAACAAAACAAAGGGAAGAGAAAAAGAAAGGGTGGGAGGGAGTGATAGAGGGGTAGAGAGATGGAGGGAGGAAGAAAGGAAAAAGTGGTGTTGGTGAGGAGCTGCTTTATACGCATGGTCAGGAAGAGCCCAGCAGCCTGGCCTCAGAGCCCAAGTCTTTACCCACCATCCTTTAATGCTGCTGGGCATGGCCACACCTCCCTGGGATGTAGCACCTCTGTCCACTGGAAGAGACCAAACCAAGCCTGCAGAGGCGCAGGACCACACTCTGGACACCACACCCCAAGGCAGCTGGGCAAACAGAGAGGGCTTGGTACAGACTCCTTGGGGTTGGAAGATGATCATGGAAAGAAACCTTAACTAGACCCTCACTGAAGCTCCACCACCCTTCCCCACCTGACCTTAGTTCATTATGCCATTTACCTTATTAGCACCCAGTCTCCTTGACCCCCACATGGAAGATTTGGAAGATTCCTGCCCTGAGAATCCAACTGACAGTGCATTGTATCGCTGGCTGTTCCTGTGGCCAGTGTCGGGTCGGCAGTGTCTGAGTCCTGCAGACACTCACGGACTTGCCTGGGCGAGGTCCACGGCCTCCTCACCAGGTCATCTCGCTCAGCCTTCTGCCTCCATGCAGACGGAGGACAGGGGTGTAACTTCTCTTCCCTTGCTCCCCCAAACTCTCCTCAGAGTGACTGAAATCATCCTGCCCTCCTGGAAGTTCTCTAGCTTCTCCCCCAAATCCCCTTTTCTGCAGTGGCTCCAAGGGCATAGCACATGAAGTGCCTCCCAAGGCCTAGAGAGGCATCCTCCTCCCCCCAGGTCCTCCAGCTGAGCCGAGCCCAGCACTGCTGTCCTCTCACCTTCCCGAGCTCCCACCCTGCAGATGTGGAGCTGACCGTGGAGGAATGCACCACTTTTGGAGGAAGGGCGCTTTCTTCTGAAGGAAGAGTAGCGGGTATACAAAGGGTGAGAGAGATGCTATCCGATCTGGCAGGACTTCCTACAGCACTGACCTTCCCCCTCTTCTTCCTCCTCCTCTGTCTCTGCCTATCACCACCATCAATGGCGGCCCTTAAAGGCCAATGTCTGGGCCTGCACCTCTGGGCAAAATAAGATGAAATGTCCTATGTGCCTGGACATTCCATACAGTTGTGCCAAAAGGGCCTGGGCCCCAGGGCCAGGATGACCTGTCCAAATTCCACAGATCCATGGGGCCAATACAACTTAGCCAAACAACTAACTTCCTCTCTCATCTTCTGAGCCAAGTATAGGAAAAGCATGGGAAGGGGGTTTTTGGTCACTGCATCTAGGGCTGGAGCCAGGGAGGCGTTTGCTACAGAACTGGGGCAGGAGGTATGACGAGGATCTGAACTGAGGCCCAGGGGGCCCTGCCGAACTCAGATCTACTACCTTTTTGACTGTGAAGTCATCAACTGGTTGTGTTCAATGCACAGACGAAAACAATGAGTCAGTGAAGAGATCCAGTGACCTACAAAAGAAGCAAGGGGTCCTAGTTAAGCACTGCCTTGTCTCAGAATCTGTAACGAATGGGGGAGGTACTAAATAATCCTCTAGTTTCACTTGTTTTTACTTGACTTTTAAAAAATCACTAATTTTGGGGGCTGTGCAGCTGATCAATATTCTCCCACTAAGCAAGGCATAGTGGCACATGCCTGTAATCCCAGCACTCGGGAGGCTGAGGCAGGAGGATCCTTGCAAGTTCGAGACCAGCCTGAGCTACAAAGTGAGCTCAAGGCCAGCCTGAACTGCATAGTGAGACCCTGTCTCAGAATGACAAAAACAAAGTCTCCCACTAGCTTAGCTCTGACCCATGGGTTATGAGAGCAGTTGCCTAGCTTACTTTTCAGGAACTTGAAGGCTGCTTTTGGTGAAAGCATGGACTCTTCATTCAGACCTGCACAAGTGTCCAATGGGTGACTCTCGCTTTTTCCATCCCTGCCTCCATCTTGCATTCGTGTCCTGTGTTACCTCAACATTTAGGTCAGATTTCTGCTCAACCCTGTGTGTAGATATGTTAGTCACTTAAGGAATGTTTGTCCCAGACTTTAGTACAAGATCTATTTGTCCTAAATTTACCCAGTCTCTCTCCTCCTTCTTCATCGTTGAAAACATCAAGCTAAGAGCAGTAAGATATTTTCAGGATTTGTAGGAGCATCACGACCTTGTGATTATGTGCATACCAACTGTCAGGTTTCCCAATGACTAGATCTAGCCCATAAGAGAGGCATCTCAAAGTGTCCCTTCATCAGTCTTTTTCTAATCTAAGCCCTGCTTTCTAAGAACAAATGGGAGTTTGAAACCTAGACTGAGTGGTGGGGCACAGTGGTGCATGCTTGTAATTCCAGCACTCAGGAGGATGAGGCAGGAGGATTGT